ATTAAAATCTGAACTGATTAAATATTTTTTTCCCCAAGAGGAAGCCACCTTACTGGATGGAGGGATGAGCTGAGATAAAAGCCTTCTGATGACATCTTCTAAAAATGAGTGTGATAACATGGTGCTATAGCCTGCTGAAGACTTGGGTAGGGAAGTAAATTCTCTCAGGTTATTTTGAAGCTTTTGCAGTATAATTTCGGCTTTGAGAGGGTAATATGAGTGGGGCATGAGCTGTGCCCTGAAAGACGATGGGAGTTGGTAGTCTAAAATCTCTAACAATATGCCATTAGTTATTTGTTCTGCTATTGAGGTATTGTCATATGCCAAATTATTACTACAGGTCACTGTCAATTCATATGGCTGTAAAACATCATAATAAACTGAGTCAACAATCTTACTAACAGTTTCTTTATGGATTGGTGGAAAACACAGCCGTTCTTCAGCATCCCGGAGAACAGTGACTTGGACATTATTAAACTCATTCACTATGTTGTTAACAAGTAATGTATTCATCTCATTGAGCTGGGCCACAGTGATGTTTTTATTTTTGCCCCACAATGAAGTAGAGAGATTAAAAAACAATTCTGAAATTATTTCTTCCAAAAATGTGGCTGAATAAACACCTGTATTCATACCTCCATGACGGAGGTTGTTATCAATGGCTATTGGATCCATTTCCTTTGTTCTTTGTCTTTTAAGAGATGACACAGAAGAGCATTTTGCTTTGTATTTCTTGCCAAATGGTGTTTGTATTTTGGAGCTAACAACACTTGGATTGTACAAAGATTCTGTCAAAGAATTACTGTCATAACTCATGCTTGCTAAAGAGCTTTTACCTTGTCCTATTAATTCTGACCTTTTTGCTTTTGTGAAACTAGATTGTATTTCTCTTGTTCTGTAGTTCAAATGTGCATTTGCAAAAGGTGGACTTTCAGGATTTTGTTGTATACTGTGAGATAGTTTGTCCATCAATGATTTAACCAAGCTGTGGGAAATAATAGTAAGCATAGAGTCTGATGACAATAAACCTTGATCCATTTCTGCCAGATTTTCCAAAAGGTCTGACATGTAATCTCCTTGAAGTTGTTCACAATTCGTTGCTCTCTTACAATAATCAAATTCTCCATCTTCTACACTTTGAAGTATTTTTAAAAGTTGACATTCTTCTGCTGATATTTCATCAGAAATAGAACCATTATCAAGAAATACAGTGCTTGTGTATTTTTCCAAAAGTGTTCTAATAAGTTTCTCACACACAATATTTAGAAGAAAAAACGATTTGGGGGAGAGCCCTAGGTTATTTCTAAGTATGCTATTACTTTGTTGATCATTTGGGGAGGAGAAAAATTTTCTTGCTACTGTACCAGAATCTGTAGCCCTATCTGCGCATTCATCTGGCAAAAATAAGTCTAAAACAATATTAAAAATTTTATTGACTACTTCTTTGGA